TAATAATTTTACCCAAATTGATTGCATGGTCGAAATTTGTCTGAAACGAAATGCCACATAAACAAAATTCAAACCTCGCCCCAAATCAATTCAGCTGACAAATCTACTGAGTATTATTCTCACTTCAAATCTCCCACACCTCCAATAACACATGCTACCTGAGCAGCACACTCACTGCAGCTCCCCACACCTCCTATAACCTACAGTACCTAAGCAAGACGCTCACTGCAGCTTTCCACACCTCCTATAACACACACTACCCGAGCAGCAGGCGCACTGCAGCTCCCCACACCTCCTATAACCCACACTACCTGAGCAGCAAGCTCACTGCAGCTCCCCACACCTCCTATAACCCACACTACCTGAGCAGCACGCTCACTGCAGCTCCCCACATCTCCTATAACACACACTACCTGAGCAGCACACTCACTGCATCTCCCCACACCTCCTATAACACACACTACCCTCACTGCAGCTCCCCACACCTCCTATAACACACACTACCCTCACTGCAGCTCCCCACACCTCCTATAACACACATTACCTGAGCAGCTCGCTCACTGCTTCCCACACCTCCTATAACACACACTACCTGAGCAGCTCGCTCACTGCTTCCCACACCTCCTATAACACACACTAGCTGAGCAGCACACTCACTGCAGGTCTCCACACCTCCTATAACACACACTACCTGAGCAGCGCACTCAATGCAGCTCCCCACACCTCCTATCACACACACTACCTGAGCAGCACACTCACTGCAGCTCCCCACACCTCCTATAGCCCACACTACATGAGCAGCATGCTCACTGCAGCTCCCCACACCTCCTATAACACACACTACCTGAGCAGCACGCTCACTGCAGCTCCCCACACCTCCTATAACCCACACTGCCTGAGCAGCACGCTCACTGCAGCTCCCCACACCTCCTATAACCCACACTGCCTGAGCAGCACGCTCACTGCAGCTCCCCACACCTCCTATAACCCACACTACCTGAGCAGCACGCTCACTGCAGCTCCCCACACCTCCTATAACACACACTACCTGAGCAGCACGCTCACTGCAGCTCCCCACACCTCCTATAACACACACTGCCTGAGCAGCACACTGCGGCTCCCCCACACCTTCAATAAAACATACACCTGCGGGCGACACACTCACTGCAGCTCCCTCCTATAACACACACTGCCTGGGCAGCGGCTCGCAGCACCCACACACCTCCTGCAAAGCACACACACTAGCTGAGCAGCACACTCACTGTAGCTCTCCCACACACTCCTATAACAGACACTACACATGAGCAGCACACTCACTGCAGCTCTTACACCTCCAGCCAAAACACTACCAGGCAGCACACTCACTGCAGCTCCCACCTCCTATAACACACACTGCAGGCAGCACACTCACTGCAGCTCCCCCACACCTCCTATAACACACACACTGCACAGGCATCACACTCGCGGCTTTCCACACCTCCTACCAACACACACACACTACACAGGCTGCACTCACTGCTCCCCACCTCGTGCCAGCCCACACTACCTGAGAAGCACACTCACTGCAGCTCCCCACACCTCATATAACCCACACTACCTGAGCAGCACACTCACTGCAGCTCCCCAAGCCTCCTATAACCCACACTACCTGAGCAGCACACTCACTGCAGCTCCCCACACCTCCTATAACACACACTACCTGAGCAGCACGCTCACTCCAGCTCCCCACACCTCCTATAACCCACACTACCTGAGCAGTACGCTCACTGCAGCTCCCCACACCTCCTATAACCCACACTACCTGAGCAGCACGCTCACTGCAGCTCCTCACACCTCCTATAACCCACACTACCTGAGCAGCACGCCAACTGCAGCTCCCCACACCTCCTATAACACACACTACCTGAGCAGCACGCTCACTGCAGCTCCCCACACCTCCTATAACACACACTACCTGAGCAGCACGCCACTCGTGTTCCTCACATCTTCCTATAACACACACTCACCTGAGCAGCACGCCAGTGCAGCTCCCCACACCTCCTATAACAAACACTACCTGAGCAGCACACTCACTGCAGCTCCCCACACCTCCTATAACCCACACTACCTGAGCAGCACGCTCACTGCAGCTCCTCACATCTCCTATAACACACACTACCTGAGCAGCACGCTCAGTGCAGCTCCCCACACCTCCTATAACACACACTACCTGAGCAGCACACTCACTGCAGCTCCCCACACCTCCCATAACACACACTACCTGAGAAATACGCTAACAATAATTAGGGTCTGCATCCAGGAGTGTTTACAGGTACAAATACAAAAGTTTTGCAGCAGGGATTAGTTGTTTACAGATAAAATCATGTTTTTTCTTAAAAATAAGACAAGGTAAAGAGAAGGATTGTAGCCAAAGATTTGCACAATTTGTTTTCAATTCACCATTCGGGTTACTTACTAAAGTGAGAACTCAAATTTAAGGCAGAGTGGTCAAACTGAAAGCAAAGCTGACGGAGATAATTTTTCCTATTTGTGTATCTGGGTCAAATATCCCTGTTATCACTATTCAGTGCAAAAAAATAATGCAGTCACCAAAAGCCTCCACTAGATGGCAGGAGTTACATATTAATTCAAATCCCATGTTGTGACCTTAGTTTGCCCAAGATAGGGCCAAACTGGCCACGTTTGTGTCTGCAATAATGCCAGGAAACACCAATGTTCACTTATGGTACATCGCTTTCACTTTTACATTTAATATTGGAGCAAGGAGACATAACTGCAATTTATAATTCCAATATAAAACATGACACAGATTGCACTGAGCAATAGGTTTTATAAAATGTCCTACAAACAGGCGATGATTAAATCGAATAGAGAGTTTATTTGTATTAATTAATATAACGTTTAAGTTGTGATGTATTGTTCTGGCCCTGGAGATGTGAAAGCTGATTACAGTCAATGATCCTATTTAGTGATGAATATAGTGCAGCCATGCTCCGAATTAAACCATAAATTCATTTAATCAGGAATCGGCACATGATAAACAGCTTTTCTACATAATCCTTTGTTTTCCGAATTCAATAAAAATAAGTGACAGGATAACCAGAATGGATTATGTGGCTGTTTCCCAAATATACAGATTAATAGGGCTGAGCTGAGCGGTTTAATAGAACGTGTGCGGTTTGTACATATTGCACAGTTTGTGAATCACAGTGTGTGGAAGCAGTGAGGGTCTAGGGGACCCTTGGTGAGAGCAATCACAAGTCTGGGGGCTACAGATGTCCTATGAAGCCCAGCCAGCACTTCCTGTAGCCATGTAATGTACAGGGGGTTGAACAATCAGCCTTTGGGGCTGCCTGTTCCCTTAGTAAATGGCTGACCCCGTGCTATGTGGTATGCAGCACTGTAAACAGCATGACACAAAAAATAAACACTTTCTCCACTGTCAGAGCATGTTACTCTATTCTACACAGATTGGATCACTTCCAAAGTTAATTTCTGTCATTTAACGTGAGCGTCACATGACACAGCCAGCCCCTCCTGCACAGCCATTTAATTAATCACATGCACAGGTCATACAGAGACCAGTATTACCCTATTACTGGCTTTCAATCCAGGGGCTTTCTGAGTAATATGTGTGTGTTTATATACTGTATGTATATGTGTGTGTGCGCGCGTTATATGTTTGTGTTTATAAAGTGTGTATGTGCACGTTAAAGGTTTGTGTTTATAAAGTGTATGTGTGTGTTTATATATTGTGTGTGCGCGTTATATGTTTGTGTTTATAAAATGTATGTGTGTGTTTATACAGTGTGTGTGCGCATTATAGGTTTGTGTTTATAAAGTGTATGTGTGTGCGCGTTATATTTTTGTGTTTATAAACTGTATGTTTATATAGTGTGTGTGTGCGCGCGTTATATGTTTGTGTTTATAAAGTGTATGTGTGTGTGCACGTTATAGGTTTGTGTTTATAATGTGTAAGTGTGTGTGCACGTTATAGGTTTGTGTTTATAATGTGTATGTGTGCACGTTATAGGTTTGTGTTTATAAAGTGTATGTGTGCATGTTATATGTTTGTGTTTGTAAAGTGTATGTGTGTGTGTGCGCATGTTATAGGTTTGTGTTTATAATGTGTATGTGTGTGTGTGCACGTTATAGGTTTGGGTTTATAATGTGTATGTGTGCACGTTATAGGTTTGTGTTTATAAAGTGTATGTGTGCATGTTATATGTTTGTGTTTGTAAAGTGTATGTGTGTGTGTGCATGTTATAGGTTTGTGTTTATAATGTGTATGTGTGTGTGTGCACATTATAGGTTTGGGTTTATAATGTGTATGTGTGTGTATGTTTGTGTTTATAATGTGTATGTGTGCACGTTATAGGTTTGTGTTTATAAAGTGTATGTGTGCACGTTATATGTTTGTGTTTATAAAGTGTATGTGTGCATGTTATATGTTTGTGTTTGTAAAGTGTATGTTGTGTGTGCATGTTATAGGTTTGGGTTTATAATGTGTATGTGTGTATGTTTGTGTTTATAATGTGTATGTGTGCACGTTATAGGTTTGTGTTTATAAAGTGTATGTGTGCACGTTATATGTTTGTGTTTATAAAGTGTATGTGTGTGTGTGCACGTTATAGGTTTGTGTTTATAATGTGTATGTGTGTGTGTGCACGTTATAGGTTTGGGTTTATAATGTGTATGTGTGTGTGTGTGCACGTTATAGGTTTGTGTTTATAATGTGTATTTGTGTGTGTGCACGTTATAGGTTTGGGTTTATAATGTGTATGTGTGTGTTTATATAGTGTGTGTACGCGCATTTAATGTTAGTGTTTATATACTGTGTGTGAGTTATATGTCTGTGTTTATAAAGTGTATGTGTGTGCGTTATATGTTTGTGTTTATAAAGTGTATGTTTATATAATGTGTGTGTGGGTGTTTATATACTGTGTGTGTGCGTTGTATGTTTTTGTTTATATAGAGTATGTGTGTTTATATAGTGTGTGTGGGTGTTTATATACTGTGTGTGTGCGCGCGTTATATGTTTATGTTTATAAAGTGTATGTTTATATAGTGTGTGTGTGTTTATATACAGTGTGTGTGTTATTTGTGTTTATAAAGTAAGTGTATGTGTGTGTTTGTTTATATATATATATATATATAGTGTGTGTGCGCGCGTTGTATGTTTGTGTTTTTAAAGTGTATGTGGTGTATATGAGTGTTTATATAGTGTGGTATACTGTCATGGTGGGAAATGGATTCAATAAGAGTCCTGGGCCCAGGACCCTGTGCAATTCGATAGTAAATTAAAGAAAAAATAAAGTTACTTGCACCACTTGAGTGTAAGCCCACCTGCCACGTCAAGGCAAACCTCTTAGGTGGGTCCTACACTAACAATTCTAATTCTAACAATGAGACAGAGAGGGGTCTTTTTCTAAACACCTACATACTTATTACCCCTTAAAAGTGAATACATAGGGTGGGCAGTAGCACTGTAACATGGCTGTGTGATACAAAAGCAAATATTTTGAAGCCTTGACGTGGTAGGTGAGCTTTTGGCTGGATGTTTAGGACAGGAGTTACTGCTGGCATCAACTAGAGTCCTAGTTTCTCCCCAGCCACCCTGGTGAATAAACTCCAGATTTATAGAGCAATCAGGCACATGGACCCTTGCCACTTTACAGGCAGGGAAAACAAGAGAAATACATTCTCCAGGCAAGGCGGCAGTGAAACGCTGCACATAATGAATCCAGGAAAGGAAGTGGTCAAGGTGTTTGGAGTAACCCAGATTCATAATAACACAAGTCAACTTGAAGGGAGTTACTCATTTCCCCATGGGGTGCTCATTAAATGTCAGGGTCTCCCATTACCTTCCACCCGTAGAACTAAATAGGGAGTGGCGGAGAACTGACCAAAGAATTGCACGATTCAGAACAAAACAGAATTGGAAGAATAGTCAAGTTGGGAAATGTTTCTAATTCACTGGTTTTGATTTAATATGTACAATTCCACGCAGAAACGACAATAATTTGCAGATTAGTTATCAATTCAAACTGTTGAGGACTGTCCCAGCTGAGGAACTCTGACGGCAGATTTGGTTTCACTAAAAGTTGCCCGATTTAGTCTCCTGAGAACGTCCCAGTAAACTTGATCGGAATCACAGACGTTTGGAGCTGTGAACAGTGATTGGCGCAGAATCCAGGAGCAAAATACTCAGAATTAAGAGGATAATACACTATGAAAAACATGGAATTATTATTTAGATCTGACTGGATTTAAAATGGATTAAATCCTCTCCCTATATTATTAACTCATACCGCCAGAAATGAACCTTGTAAGTGGACTTTGTAACAAATCCTACAAATACCTCAGATGACATTACAGCTGGCCGTAAGGCGATTAACAAGAAATGTAATGCATAGGGACTATTACCAGATCCAGCCTCGGTTCCCTGCTCCTAGAGGTGTAAGGGTTAACTGCGTACCCCATCATAAAGACAACAACTATCAGTGATACTAACACAATAATTATTATTTCAAATATGCCAACATATTCCACAGCGCTGTACAACCAGATGTATCATTAAGTTCAACGAGCCATGTTTGACTTACTTGAACAAGAGGCAGCAAACGATCAGCACGCCATGGGGTCTACTAACCAAACTCTGAATTTGCTGCATGTAGTATTTAGCTCAAATATAGAGGATCTGTCTGGATGGGGAGTTTGTAATGGTTTAGGGTGACCAGTATTTTTATTATGTTAAACCTTGCAGTGTGTGGCCAGCAGACATTATTTTACAGTAGTTGGAAGTTTGGGACATGGGTTTGTGCCCACCCTAAAACTGTGATACAGCCCGTTAGATCGATTCAGTTACAGAGTCCGATACGGAGGGACAGCTCAACTGTTATAATTGTAATGAACACACCGATCGCTCTCAGTGGCTGCAATAAGAGAGTCATGAAATAGAAGATTTGGAGTTTTTCCTTTCTTTAAATCCCGTATTTCACTGACACATTATCGTGTTGTATAATTTGCTGTAATTGTACTTTCTGTGATTGGAACCTTCAGAAGCTGGAGACATTTGTCTGTATCTCCACAGCGCTCAATGGATTAAGACAGTAAATGTGTGAATCCAGAACCATGAATGTCACATTATCCTGAAATGAATCCGTCTCTCTGCAGAAATGAATACCTGCGTTATGGACGCTGAAATGCCGGCTCAGCCTGTAATGTTTGGTGTTTTACATACTCAGCACCAATGTATACTGTGATCAGGACGTACAGGGCCTTTTAGTCTCCGCTGCATGGGGGATATATGCATTACTGATTCAGCAGCTCCAGACTCTGCTTCTACATGAAAACATAAATTTCTCTTTTGCAGCAAGTTGTAACAAAGCCGCCCCTGCTGATGGCAGCAATAAGAGAACATTCCTAATGACTCCTTCCACAGGAGGATAACCTTTCCCTTGATGTTTTTCACTCCAGTTAACCTTGGAAGTCCAGTGGTGCTAGTTCCTTAAGGATCTGACATGAAACTGCGCTTTTTGGAACTATTTTCAAGGTCCCTCTGAAGCCAGGATGCTAATTATTTAACGTGCTCCAACCAAAGTAGTTAGTGCTAGCCCAGTGTACCTTCTGCTTGTCTGAGCCCAGCTGGGGCAGCTGCAATTATTTTTTTATATAGCGCCATCAAATTCCGTAGCGCTGTACAATGGGTGGACTAACAGACTTGTAACTGTAACCAGACAACTGGACGTACAGGAACAGAGAGGTAGTGGGCCCTGCTCAGTGAGCTTACATTCTAGAGGGGCAATGACAGGGCACGTGGGTACCAAGGACAACCTTATCAATCACACACGACCACCAAACTAATTCAATGTGCTTGAGTTAAAAATGCAACTAAACTGTTTTTTTATTGGATAATCTCACTTTAATTATGGAAACAAACCTCTATGTTTCAATATTGGACCCTACATCCTTGTTATTGTAATGTATCAAAATACAAAAGCAGTCATGATGCCCTGTGACGTCTCCGGAATGAGAGAACACAACAACCTCCACCTATGCACGTGCTATGTTCTAATATAACCAGATGGCAGAACGTGTAATTGAGAAATAGTCCTCCTGATAAAGCTCAGATAATGCCCGGGTTATTATGTGAAATGATTAGCAGAAAAGACAGACTTTGCAGAAGTATGTTTTAGTGTGAATTTTTTTAAAAATGAATTAAAGTGGATTAACAGACGGTAAGGCTGCCGTAACATATGTCCACAGAGAGTTTCAACATAATTTGAAAAGATCTGCTTAAAGCGGTTGGACAGTTCCTTCACAGCACGTTAAAAAGGTACTTACAGCCTGTCCTCTGCTCACAATATCAGCCAGTTGCTTTAGGTACCTGTCCCATTCTGCAGTGAAAAATGTACTTTAGAAAATGTGACACTGAGTTTATTTACTAAACAGTGAACTGGATACAAATAGCATCAATGTACAGCTTAAACAGATCTTCTTCCAAATCCGCTATTTTCAACAAAATTTCGAAGTTTGTTTTTTAATTCGCTATAAATCACTAGTGTGATAATAAACCCCGTAACAATAATACTGAATAAGTCAGAGATGCTAAATCTTAGATATATGAGAGAAGAAAATTGAAATGATTAGATGGTGATATAGGAGCTAGTTTACCTGGGGCATTCCCTGTCACAGCCCAGGAAAGCCTCAGAGTCATGGCCTTTTCAATGAATGTGGTCGATTACACAACAAAAAGCAAAAAAATGAAACAAACCAAAAATATATGACAAGTCCCAACTTGAGAAATAAAAATTTAAATCAATGCAAAAGTCGGGTGACCACCACATTGGTTGTGCTCTTGGTTGGTGGAGTAAATGGGACAACATTAGCTGGTTCCTAAGCTGTGGTCGGTGCCCAAACCTAGCATGATCAGGATGGCTTAAATCTCTAAAGCATCAGATACTTTATGCTCCATATTCTGGTGTTAAATAAGGAGTATAAATTCTGAAATTTAATTAACAGAGCACTGGTGGCAGAAGCTGTGGCTGACTGAGGTTTAGGGAGATGGAACACTTCGGCAAGCATTATATCTTTCACTTGGGGCAAGAGGGCGTAAATAGCCTGTGGAGAAAATGTGACACCTTCTGACAGGACTCTGATCTTCAGGTGTTTCCACCGCCTCTTGTTTTCTAGTGGCGCTAGTTGGTGGCTCAGGTTAGCTTGGGCCGAGGTTGGGTCATTGACCTGTTTCTGGAGCTCCAGGACTTGTGAGGCATGTGCTGTGGTGGTCTTCTACCTTTCGTCCAGGCGTGCAGTGAACAATCTGACATCCTCCCTGACTTGTGATATTTTAGCGCAGGGGTTCTGAACCCAGTCCTCAAGGACCCCCTACCAGTCCAGGATTTAGGGATTACCCTGTTGTGTCTAAAGTGTTTGTTCCCCCCCCAAAAAAACACATTAGATACAGCAGGGTAATCCCTAAATCCTGGACAGTTCGGGAGTCCTTGAGGACTGGGTTGAGATAGATTTTGATAGAGGTCCGTCAGGAGACTTGCAAGTGTTGAAGTGGTGAACAGGGGTGATGATCCCGCTTTCAACTGAGGTGGCTTAAGTGGTCCCTTATAGCCCAAATCACATTGTGGGGAGGGTACTCATCCAAGGTGTCAGAAAAATCCTCGAGGTCTGCCACTATTTCAGGCCTAACCTCGACATGTAACCTTAACAAATCTCTGATATCACCGGAGAACCTGGACCGATCAGGCCTTGGCTTCTTTGTATTCCAGCCCACTGCCAGAGGAGCACTTCTAGGCGTGCAGTGTGCACTTTGTGTCCTTGGTAAAGCTCTATTTTGAGCGTTTGTGAGCCGTACCGACGGAGCTCCACAGAGTTGTAGCTACTCCGGTTGAGAGCTAGTTTCCTCTGTCCTATACATTTTTACATATATAATCTATACATGGCTTATAAGTCTCATATAAAAACACACTGACAGAAGACATAAGCACGTTCT